AACGACAACGCGTTGGTTTATCGTGCCACAGGAGTTACGTGATGACCTTGCTGCCTATATCTTCTAGTTCAGTCGAGTTGAGTTCCGATAACGTCTAAAATAAAATGTGTACATTTGGTTTGTAGGGTGCGTTTGAGAAAAGGAGCAATCAAGTGATGTCTTTGGGCAGTGTGGTGAAAATGTACCCAAAAGAACACTTCTATGATTTGAACGGAATGAATAATAATTATGTTATATAATGTTCACAAGAATCTGATAAATAGTCAAAGGGCTGATCATTCGGGTTGGGGGAGGTGTATGGTCGGGTTGGGGGGGTGAAATGGAAAAATGAAAGGACGGATAGATGCACGGATGAACACATGAACGACTAATAGAAAGATTGACCGACTGTTGCGTAGATAGAGTGACATGCAGCCAACCGGACAGGCAAAAGGGCAAAAAATATCAATAGAAAGACAACAGACACATAACTAGCAAGCTAATGAAATAGCCATATCGCTAGTTCGATAAATAAATAGGCAGAGAAATAGATAGAGCTCAAGTACAAAACGCCCACATTGTTGCCGCCTTACCTTAAAAGCACAAGGCTATTCCAGAGATCACGAAGCCAGAAAGCTACAATGCTCTCTGTACATGGCAGCCAACGCAACGAAGACTGGTGGGTCTCAAAAGTGGTACCCACGCCAAACCAAACATTGATTTAGCTCGTGGTGACCGTAGCTTGATTTCGCCAACACAATGAGACCGTGATTGTTGACGAGAGAAAGGGAGCGAGAGAAGAGGACGAGTGAATTTCGGCAAATGGCTGCGATCCAGCATTGAGGTGGGTGAGGCTGGAGGGGTGAATGGACAAACAAGGGCTCTTAACATTTGTGAGTGCCACAGCCGAGAGATAAAAAGGCCAAGGATTACGGCAACAAGTTAGCAGTGTTTGTGTGAGGGGTGGAGGTTGCTGGGGGGAGGGGGGGTGTTAAAGTGCCATTAGACAATTTTTTTTTCTCTTCAGGAGAATGGCCTCGCGGTTGGAGCCGACTGGGGACAGTAACAGACTTCAAGCTCATAGGCATTCAGGAAATGCATGTACTGACCTGCAGAAACATGGCTTATCCTTTAAAAAAACAACCGGTCATATTTACTGTGGTGTACATTTTTTTGTTCAGCTCGTTGACAACATTTGGCACCTATAAAGAAATGGGAAGCAGGAAAAACACAACAACAAACAAACAAACACATTGACATACAAAACCAACAAATGTTATAGTTATCATGCTTTGTTTTACGCGGCGTTTCCACACTAAAGCCAATGCCGTGTAGGCAGACCGACCTCACCATGGCTTGTCCGTCACAATAATTATGGTAACCGGGAAGCAGTAGCTTACTTTCTATGCTCTTTGAAATTCCAAGACAATGAAGCTGTAAGATATTGGGAATTTTGAATCGGCGCAAATCGAGTACTCGTGATCTCAGTGGTATTAAGATTAGAAAGAGAGAAGGGTGACACTGTGTGAATAAACGACAGTCAGAGATGATGACTGGAGAGCGGGAGAGAACACAGAGGACGTATTTGATATTACAGCCACTAGTGATAGGCACCCAAGAAAGATGAAAGTAAGGGCAGGGTCTTTATGGTAGCTACATGTAGTTAGATGTGGGAGGAAAGGGGTGGGGCGGCAGCAGGCAAAATGTACTCCATTATATTGGATAAAGTCAGCTGTATGGGGAAAAAAACCTTCGACAAATGTGATTAGTGGTTGCAACAGACGAAACTAGCATTTAGAAAACCCCTGTCTGCCGCTCTAATAGTTAAAATATCGATTAAATATTTAGAGCGATCATAGCTCATTCCACAGCCAATTCACTATGGTCTAAGGAAACGAGATTCTCAGCCATAATATTATGTGTCGAGTTAAACTACGGCAATCGGAGGGAACAGTAGATATGATGTAATTTGTAAGCTTATATTCACGAGTTCTGGAAATATTTTGAGCAATGGCTCTGAGGCTAAGAGTGAGTAGGTGGGTTTGGAGAAGACAGTCGGAGAAAAGGTGTGTAAATGTTAATGTGTGTTTACACGTGCGTGCGGTGTGTGTGCGAGTGTGTGTGTGTGTGTGTGTGTAAGTTTGTGCGTGAGTAATAGAGTGTGAGCACGCATGTGCGTGCGGTGAAAGAGAGAGAGAGAGAGAGAGAGAGAGAGAGAGAGAGAGAGAGAGAGAGAGAGAGAGAGAGAGAGAGAGAGATAG